CTGAGGATCCCCGGATAATAACGACCGGGTAGAGGAGGATTGATCAATTGGGGCTCATGGGAGTAGGAAATGACTGTTTGTGTTGTGCTGATAGTGTCGGAGAATTTATTCTGTTAAGTGTTTTGGTTGTGTTTTGGAGTTGCAGCATTAATAGGCCAGATAACATGTGGATTATTCATTTAGTAAAGCAGACTGAGGGATTGTGGGCTGAGAGCTGAGATTCCTTGTGTGATGTGTGATAGTAACGTATGAAGAGTATGTGAAAATTGTAATCCCCTGAGCTTCTATGCATCCCATATATTTCTGTACACAAATGACACATGTAAACAACATCCTGGCAAGTATACAGCATAGCCTAAACAAGGTCAGGTATAGGCTGTTATGTAAACATGAAGGCCTATTATGTGATGCCTATAGCAGTCTTGTAATAGGCACTCGTGTACACACGCACCTGTATAGGCACTGTTGTTTACAACATCACATGTAGACACATCTGTATACCAGTCATGTTTACCACATAGCCTAAACAAGGTCAGGTATAGGCTGTCATGTAAAGGCCATTGCATATTACGTGATGCCTATAGCGGTCTTGTAATAGGCGCTCATGTACACACGCAGCTGTATAGGCACTGTTGTTTACAACATCAACTGTAGACGCATGCATATACCTGGCAAGTATACACCACAGCCTAAACAAGGTCAGGTATAGGCTGTTATGTAAAGGCCATTGCATATTACGTGATGCCTATAGCGGTCTTGTAATAGGCGCTCATGTACACACGCAGCTGTATAGGCACTGTTGTTTACAACATTACCTGTAGACGCATGCATATACCTGGCAAGTATACACCACAGCCTAAACAAGGTCAGGTATAGGCTGTCATGTAAAGGCCATTGCATATTACGTGATGCCTATAGCGGTCTTGTAATAGGCGCTCATGTACACACGCACCTGTATAGGCACTGTTGTTTACAACATCACGTGTACACATATCTGTAAAGCTTGGAAGTATACCGCATAGCATAAAGAAGGTCAGGTATTCTACATATATACAGGGTCCTCTATTAGGCAAACATGTACATATGTCCCTCTTTAGGTCTGGGCCTTTATTTCTCGTATAATACGTGTACACCTAACTGGCCTATATACCTTTCACCTATTTTCCCGAATATCTCGCCTATACAATGCCCGAAAAAATACAGACGTAATAGGTGCACACACACACGCACACACACACAGGCACACACACTGCATGGGCTCCAACATACTCTGTTGATGATCGAATCCCTCTTCAGCACGAATATCATTATAGGCTGGGCATTCCAATAACACGTGTTTTTCATCCTCAATTCGGATATTAGGACCCAACAGTGGGAAAACCGNTTGCCCCTGGGGACATGGTACTTGCCCCCTTCGGGCTCTGTTCGGCTCCAAAGCCCAGCAACATAAACGAAATTGCATTAGCTTACGATGTGCTAAACGAGGAATGAAACCCTTAGCATGTGTTGGCCACATGACGGCTGCGGCTCCCGAAAAGGGCAGCCCCATCCAGTGCTTATACTTCGCCATTTGCACTCCCGGTTGCTTCCCATCTGATGGGTACTCCTCTGGCAAGACAGTCAGACGCGTATGGTCCCAGCCGCTCATCAAACGCTCTCTTAGTGCCGTTATTATCGCTCCTTCTGGTAGAGGTCTACTCAACAACCAGTCAACACGCTCCTTTACCCCCACGACTTCTTGCGGTATTCCGCTCCAAATGTTGCACTCCAAGAAGGAAAACAGTCGTAACATTGAGATTCCCCAACCCTCCCATTCCGGGTTGGTCAGGGCATCGGTTATCTCCTGCCGTAAAACTGCATGAGCAATGGATCCCACTTGCTTTTGAAGGCGGTTCCAGAAACGGAGGATCTGCTTCACCATGTAATATTGTGCTGATGCGGATTGGAGCATGTCGCCCGCAGGATAACCCTGACTTCCATTTCCTAGGATGTATTCCTGAGCTGGCACATGGGGGCTTCGGCGGCCGCGAGGTCTCGGCCGCAAGCCTTGCAAGTACCCCATGGCCGAGAACCGCCGCTCATCCTCCACCGACCCTGGCACCATCACTAACACCAGCTGGGCCAAAGCCGAATACTCCGTTAAGCCGCCGGCGAGGACCACACAGTTGCTGATGGCCTGCCACACCCGTGCTGTGGGTGTGTCATCGAGCAGCACCCGGTGCTCACGCTTGGATGTGGGCGCATCTAGGTCCACTGCTGCCGCCTGCTGCCTCTGCCGCTCGGTCTGCTCTCGCGCCCGCCTGAGGCGCTGCTGTGCGGCGAGCTGATTCATGCTGGAGGCGAACAAGTTCGCCTGCTCGTCCAGCAAGGCGCTGTCCAGCATCGGTGGCACCTTGCTGGAGTTGGCGCCCACCCGCTCACGGCAGTAGTAATCCTTGAGGATCTTCAGCTTCGCCTTGAAGTCGGCTGCCGTGGGCCTGTTCTCCCAGTACTCACTGTAGACAATCGACGCCGCCTCCAGCAGTGGATGTGGGGGAAACCGCGAAGACAGCTCACCTATCAGCTCCTCGACCGCGGCTGACATGTCTGCCTGCACCGACTTCACGACCTGGGCCAGGCGGTCCGGTGTCAAAGGCGGTGGTGTGCGGTCTCGGC